GAGAGGAAGTTGGACCTGGCCTATCCCCACTCTACATCCTCAGTGAGGATACTTCAGGCAGCCCTGGGAGACTCAGTACCACCCTCACACGTGGTCCCAATTTCCACTGACCCCACATTTTCACTGTTCCCCAGCAAGGGCCTGGCATATCCGGAGGCAACACGGGCCACACAGAACTACAATCCAACATGCACTGGTCAGGCTGCTAGGCTCAAAGGGCTGGCCTGAGCAAAGAACATTAGCAGGACTGCACTGGGGTGGGCCATGGTGACCTCGCTGTGCTGGGCTGAGGTAGGGTACACTGGACTTAGTTCACCTGGCTAAGCTGGGCTGCACTGAGCCTGCTGGATACAGAAGGCTTGCTCTTCCCTTTTTGCTCTTGCTGCCTTTGCCATCTTCTGTTGCCATGAACTATTGGTCCTCACCACGCCATCTGCCTTGAGATCAGCTATTATGGACTACAACCTCCACAAACTGTAAGCTAAATAAACTTTTCTTTTCTTAATTTTGGTGTTGAGTATTTCGTTTCAGCAATGAGAGAAAATTAACTGAGACACTTATTATGAGCCCACAACACACTAGGAGTGAAGAGTGCAGGGAATCAGAGTCCTGACAGCGCTCTGTATCAACAATCCAATGTGTCCACAGGTGGGTACATGAGGAACCACACTATGGCTCCCAGGTCTCTGGTCCCCACCATGCAGATGCCCTGGTCCCTATCTTGTGGGGTGGGATGTGAGGTGGGGTCAGCCTGTGCCTGTGGGTCATCCGCCTCCATGGGGTCTCTGGGCCTGGGTTCTAGCTTGCGGTGTGGCCTAATGCTTCTGTTCCTGAGAGCCCAAGTTCCAGCCCTCAGGGCTGAGGCCAGGTTCCCTCCCGTGTCCAAACCGGTCTGAGCACCATGATCATCACCCCAAGTAGATGCAAGGAATCTAATAGTGTCCTGGGCTTGGAGTCCATGAGAAAAAAGAAGCAGATAGCACTGTCTGGCCTGGGGTGCAGCAGCATCCCCACCAGGCCTAATCTTGCTTGTCCATGTCCAGCTCCACAGCCTCTGTCCAGTCACTCTCCATCTTACCCTTGGACTCCTGCAGTGACTCCAAGATACTGGGCTGCCTAGACAAGGGATACTTCCAAGAGCTGGTGTTATAGTTTGTGTCTAGTTGTCTCCCTAAAGCCTCATGCAGCCATGGGTGGCTTCTAGAGTTTGTGATTAACTCATGATCCAGTGTAGGGATTATGGGTGTAAGTGCTACAGGCACTCTGAGGTGATAGTCTGAATACAATGTAGGGAGGGGAGAGAGCCTTGCTAGGTGCCACAGCCAATGCTCCTCCCTTTGCACTTTGCTGTTTTCACCACCATGAACTGCTGCTCTCTGACATGTGCCACTCTTCCTTGAAGTCAGCCAAGTATGGACTGAAACCTTCACTATGAGCTGAAAAAAACATCTCCTTTCTTAATTCTGTGTGTTGGGTATTTTTTTCCAACAATGAGAAAAAAGTAACAGACAGGCGGCATCTGTAACCTGGTCACAGATGCAAAGACTCAAAGAATGTGACTATCTTTGCATTCACCAATCCTAACTTCAACTCCAGCTTTCTGATTACCAGCCAGGTGACAGTCTCAGGATAAATATCTGAACAGCTCATCTGTAGGGTATCCCATGCTATATCTACAGTCAACCAACAGAAGCCAGAGGTAAGTGGGCAGCTGGCCAGAACATACCACCCAGGACAGAAGGTGGGGGCCTAGGCCAGCCAGGGGTAGGAGGAGGACAGACACTCACTGGCTACTTCTGCCCTAGCTTGTCTCTCCTCCTTCACCCAGCCTACTGTGAAGCTTTTCCATCCCTCCTATCACTGTAGCAAGTTCCAGCCCACCATCAAGTGCCTCTGCCTCATTTCCAAATACATCCCAAGTGACTTCAAAGTCACCTGGCTGAGGGATGGGCAGCAGGCTGGACTCCACCTAAAGAGAGCTTGACAAAAGGATGTACAAAAGGTGGTACAGGGCTACAGGATAAATCCTGAGAGTACTTGGCTGACCTTATCAGATACAAAAGTTACATTTCTTGGCATATAGGTCTTGCTATATCTTGGTCTTAACCATCCAGCAGAAAAGTATAGAAATGACGTATATAAAGTAAATCCATATTAATACGATGAACTGTAAAAGAGCTTAACATTACCCCAAGCAACTGGGTGTCAGAGCACCATGAAGGTCACCTGTCAGTTCGTGTCTGAAGGTTAGACCTCAGAGGATCACATCTAGAAGCGCACAAGTGTGGCTCTCCTCACCAATGCCTAGACATGGGGGAGTGGTTGCAGGAGCCACCAGGGTCTCACATAGTCCCTCCCCATGCCACAGATGACAACAAGCCATGAGGTATGTGTGCCTATCTAATTTCACTCAGTCCCCATCAGACAGGATTAAAAAAAAAAAAAAAAAAGACCTTTATGCTTACAAGGTACCCAAGCTTATCTGCCTGGTGTTGAGTCTGGAAAACAAAAATGGAGTCACCAAGGAGTGGACTTGGGAGAGCCGGTGGCCTGTGAACTCTCACTGCTGGACAGCCGAAATGTACTGCAACACCACGATCTTCACAATGTCCACCCTGCCCATGGCCATCGAGGACTGGGCTTATGATGATAGTTACCAGTACAGTGTGAGCCACCCTGACCTTCCCAAAGCCACTGTGTGGTCCATCACCAAGGCCACTGGTAAGGGTTAATTGGAGTTAGAGAAAAAATAAAGGACAGCACACATGAAATAAAAATGTGCTTGTAAGGCCAGATTGCTCAGCATACTAAAGCACCTGGTTAGGCAGGGCACAGCGGCTGGGGTTCGATACCCGGCATGCCGCCTCCCCTGCCCCCAGGGCATGCTGAGATGGTGACTGAGACTGGATGTGGTGTCCTACACCTGTAATCTCCGTGCTTGGGAGGATGAAGAAAGGAGGATCACTAGGAGTCTGACCTGTGTAATGAGACCCTGTAGACCCTGAACTAAATAAATAAATAAATAATTTATGAAAACCAAATCAGCAACCAATTCAACAATATTCTAGAAAGAACCAATGAAGCCAATAAAGGAAAAAAAAATCTGTTAGAATGAATACATCAAGCAAGGTTATCAGTCAAACAAACAAACAAAGAAAATTAAGAGCAAACAACTGAAAAGGAATTTTATGATAGGTATAAGAGGGTATCTTTTGGTAATAAATCTCTATGTAAATGGCCTCAGACAGGATTAAAAAAAAAAAAAACAACTAAATAATATGTTGCATCGAAAAGATTCCTTTAATGCAAAAATGGCTATAAATCCCCAATTAGGTATAGAGAGAAATCCCAAATTACTTAATGATGACCTTCATATTTTTATAAAAACTAGTACAAAAAATCACAAATATCAAATGCAAAATCAATGAAATTGACACTAAAAATAGAAAGAATTAATGCATCAAATAGCAAGTTCTTCAAAAGAATAAACTAGACGACAAACCCTAGTCAATGTTACTAAAAGGCAAGAAATGACTCCTATCAATGCACTTAAAAATGGAAAAGGTGACGTAACAATGTGTACAACTGAAAATGTTTGTAAATAAGAAAACATACTCTAACAATGGGAGGATGTAGAAGAAACTGGACAGACTCTTAGAAATGTATGAATTACCAAATCTGAAACAAAAAGATACAAAAACTCTCAACAGTAAAATAAGTCTGATAAACACCTGCTTGACAAGTGCATGCTCCCAAGTTTGATCCACACTACTACAAAAAAAGGTTAAAAAACAGAGAGTAATTAAAAGTAAATCTTGTTAAGCCCATGAGAAGACAGAGTCACCCCTAAATTCTACAATACCTTTAGTTAAGATCTGATACCAATACTTCTCCAAATATATAAACTGAAAGGGAAGAAGTACTCCCAACATCATTTCTGAAAGCTAGCACTGTTCAGCCTTCAAGACATAGAAAAATGCAAACCAAAACCTACTGGCCACTTTCTTTAATGAACATAGATGAAAAAATCCTCAAAAACATACTGGCAAACAAAAAGTAACACATATGCAAGGTAGGTTCACATATGCAAGTCAATAAATGTAATATACCACATAAACAGAAGCAAGAAAACAATGATCATTTAAGTAGATGCAGAAAAGTCTTCAACATTGATTCATGATTTGAAAACCCTAAAAAATATGTATAGACACAATTCTCTAAATCAGTTATATTCATCTATGAAAAACCCACAGTCAATAGCAAATGAAAGCTCAAAGCTTTCTCTTTAAAATCACAAGCAAAATAAGAATGTTCACCATCATCATTCCTGTTCAATATAATACCTGAAGTAATAGCCAGGGCAATCAAAGGAGATACATAAAAATGATATATAGGCAAAAGGAATAAATAAAAGTATCACTATTTGACATTGATAGGATCCTTTACATGGAAGCCAAAACAATTCCACCAAAAGACTCCTAGGAAAGTAGTTGAAGATGCAAGACAAAAAGTCAACACACAAAAACCACTTGTAGGCCAGGGAGATAGCTCAGTAGAATAAGCGCCTGCCTGGCTTGCCAGGCACCCTGAGTTCAATCCTTGGTACTGCAAAACAAACAAACAAACAAACCACTTGTATTTAACTACAGTACAATGAAAAAAGAGACTGAGATAGACATCAGAAAATACATATTGCCTGTTACTGGCCAGGAAATACAGTACTATCAAAATATTCATACTTGCAAAACTAACACATAAATTTAACACAATCAAATCAAATTACCAAAAGCATTCTTCAAAGAATTAAAGAACCTAAAATTCATATGGAAAACTAAACAATTTCAGCAAACATGAAAAAGGGGATCAGAGAACTGGTGGGAGGGGAAAAGAGGGAATGAAAGGAGATTATTAAAAAAATAGATTCATGTAAATACTACCAAGATGATTGTAAACATGTAATAAAAAATGTAAATACTACCAAGATGATTGTAAACATGTAATAAAAAATTTTTGAAAGTACATGCTCACAATTCTCAGAAAATACCTCAATATAAAATACAGTATCAAATGAACTATCTCAGAATATTGAGTATATATACCAAATCCTTTTTTCAAAAGGTAGTGGTGAAATCTCAACAAAAACAAAACACAATTAACATTAATTTTTTTAGTGGGCTATATCACCCAATTATTTTTAAAAAGTATGCATGTGTCGTACTTGTATGCAAAAAATGTGTAAATACCATGTGTTTAATTAAGTATATTAAGCTCAGACACAAAAATACATAATTGTCAATTCATATTTTATATTAAACACAAGATACATAATGAAGATATTTTTAGATTTACTGAAAAACATACCATCTGTACTTTAGTATATCTCCATCTTCGATTGTATTTTCTGAAAAATTTATGAATATTTACATAAAACTGTTCTCAATAATTACTTTTACTGGCATCCACTACATGAGAAATTTAACAGGATTTTCAAATAGGCTTAGTATAGTTTCTCCTCAGTGCAACTTTTCAAATATATAACATGTGCTTGTATTGAATGATTTCTCATATTATTTATGTGCATAGGGTTTCTCAGTGAGATTTATTTGTATGTGAGGATGTAGTAGCAAATCCTTTTCCACACTACTTATATGTACAGAGTTTCTCCCCAGTTAGTTTCTCTATGCATTTGACAATTACTACTTGTGGTAAAAGCTTCCCTAGACTGCTTATATCCACAGGTTTTCTCCCCAGTGTGAGTCCTTTCATGTCTTTGGCAATTAGCATGTAGGCTAAAAGCTTTCCCACATTGTTTACATACATAGGGTTTCTGCCCAGTGTGACTTCTTTCATGTGTTTGACAATTACCATGCCTACTGAAAGCTTTCCCACATTGCTTACATACATAGGGTTTCTCCCCAGTGTGACTTCTTTCATGTATTTGACAATTAGCATGTAGGCTAAAAGCTTTTCCACATTGTTTACATATATAAGGTTTTTGCCCACTGTGACTTCTTTCATGTGTTTGACAATTACCATGTCTGCTGAAAGTTTTCCCACACTGCTTACACATATAAGGTTTCTCCCCAGTGTGAATTCTTTCATGTGTCTGACAATTGACATGAGTACTAAAAGCTTTCCCACAGTGCTTACATACATAGGGTTTCTCCCCAGTATGAATTCTTTCATGTCTTTGCCAGTGCCCATGTGTGCTGAAAGATTTCCCACAGTGCTTGCATACATAGGGCTTCTCCCCAGTATGAGTTCTTTCATGTATCTGACAACTAGCATGTATGCTAAAAGCTTTCCCACATTGCTTACACACATACGGTTTCTCCCCAGTGTGACTTCTTTCATGAATTTTACAATAACTCTGGGTACTGAAAGCTTTTCCACACTGCTTACACACATAAGGTTTCTCTCCAGTGTGAGTTCGTTCATGTGTTTGACAATTAACATGTGTGCTGAAAGCTTTCCCACACTGCTTACATACATAAGGCTTCTCTCCTGTGTGACTTCTTTCATGTATTTGACAATGACTATGTGTACTAAAAGCTTTCCCACACTGCTTACAAACATATGGTTTCTCCCCAGTGTGGCTTCTTTCATGTACTTGACAACAACTGTGTGTGCTGAAAGCTTTCCCACATTGCTTACATACATAGGGTTTCTCTCCAGTGTGAGTTCTTTCATGTGTTTGACAATGACTGCGTGTACTGAAAGCTTTTCCACATTGCTTACATACATACGGTTTTTCTCCAGTGTGAGTTCTTTCATGTGTTTGACAATTACCATATCTGCTAAAAGCTTTCCCACATTGCTTACATATATAGGGTTTTTTGCCAGTGTGAGTTCTTTCATGTATTTGACAATGACTGTGTGTACTAAAAGCTTTCCCACAGTGCTCACATACATAGGGTTTCTCCCCACTATGAGTTCTTTCATGTATTTGACAACAACTGCGTGTGCTGAAAGCTTTTCCACACTGCTTACATACATAGGGTTTCTCTCCAGTATGAGTTCGTTCATGTGTTTGACAATGACTGCGTGTGCCAAAAGCCTTTCCACATTGTTTACATACATAGGGTTTTTCCCCAGTATGAATCCTTTCATGTTTTCGACAAGCACTGCGTGTACTAAAAGCTTTCCCACACTCCTTGCAGGCATATGGTTTTGCCCCAGTCTGAGTCCCTTCATGTCTTTCATGAAGACTCTGTGTGCTGAAAGCTCTTCCACACTGCTTATATACATATGGTTTCTCCCCAGTGTGAATACTTACATTACTGAGAAAATAATTATTTTGATTCAGTACTTTCCCACATTCCTCAGAAACATGGAGCTTCTCTCTAGCATGCCTTTGTTTATGTACTTCATTGGTTGTGCTAGAGATTTCCAATTTTTTCTCCCACACAAAGCTCTTTTCTCTGAGGTGAGTTCTTTCACTAAGATCAGAGCAGGATTTCCCACACTGATTGCATTCATAGGGTTTATCTCCAGGCTTTGTCCTTGGATGCTTCTGAAAAGACTGGAAACCACAAGTTCTTCCATTGCCATTACATTTATGCAGCCTCTCTTCAAATTCTACATACTCACATGGTTTAACTCTAGTGTGAGCTATGATGGGCACATTTGGAGACAAATGGCTGACTAGGGGCTTTCTACAAGCAAGGCTTTCAGCTTATGTCAAACCAGCTTGTTTTAAGTCCACATTACCGTCTGGAGTCCAAAGGAAGATTTTTTCATATTGACTCAATGCTTTATATTCACAGCATTTTGCTATCTGTTCATTTCTGAGGAGAAAAGAAAAAAGTCAAATTAAAATGATTCTCCATATTAATTAATTACCCAAACAAGTTGTCATCTAAGAAATATTGACAAGTTAACTGAAAGTCTTGAGGGGTAACTTCAAACTGGCCACTGCCAAAAGAGAACCATGTATTTGAGAATTTTAGAATTGGAATATTTTGCAATACATAAAGTTTGGTTTCATTCTAGGAAGCTGGTACTTTTATATATCAAATATTATTTAATATCTCTCTCCTTTTTTCTCCCTACCCTGTTTATCTTTCCCATTTTCAAAACTCAATCTTCCTTTTTTCTTATCACTATTAGCACTACTTTTATTTAACTCAATTTGTATTTTTGATTTCATATAAGAGAAACCATATGATATTTTATATTCTGTGTCTGACTTATTTCACTTAGCAATACAGGTTGAACACCCACTCATTTATTTTGGCAAATGACATGGTGTCTTTCATCTTTATGGATGATTATATAACACATTTTCTGTTTTCAGCACTAGGAATTAAACAAAGATCTTAGTACTGAATTATATCTTCAGGTTTTTTATTTTGAGAGAGACTGTCATTGATGATTAGGTTGTTCAGTCTGAGCTTTCAACTTGTTACATTGCTAAATCTGTACCTAGAGTGCTCGGTTTTCATCATACTAACAGTATTAAAAATTTTCATTATCCATACATTCATTGTGGACATTGAGGGTGATTTCAGGGCTTAGCAGTTATGTATTATTCTGCTTTGAGTATGGATGTACATGTATCAGTATAATATCATTTTTAACTATTTTTGTGAATATATCCAGGACAGGAACACTTGGATCAAGTAGAAATGTTTCTCTACTTTTTGAGACCTCTGCATACTGATTATCATACATACCATAATACTGGCTATACTTAGTATTCCCACCAACAATGTTGGAGGGTGCCTTCTAGGAATTTTAAAACATGAATGGGTTCAATTATCTGGATGACAGCTTGAAAACATCCATCATTACAACACTGGCATCTATTTGCACATTGAATACTACTTCAAGATCAGCAGTGTTTTTAAATTGTCAATGTCTTATATTCAAATTTATACATAAGTCACTATCTTTTTTTATAAATCACTATCTTGAAGACGGACTCTTCTCAAAGCCGAAAATTTTTTCTTTTCATATATACTTATATACAATACTTAGACACACTTTCATAAATCATGTTGAAAAGAACATTTTTATACATATATATTAAATAGTGTTACTTCTATTACATCAGTACTCAGTCTCCAACATTGGAAAATTTCTATATTTAACTGTCAGATTATATATACCCAAACTGTATATATACTTTTGGAGAGTACTTGTAAAATTAAATGAAATTGAACATGGCCTTGCTTCCTTAGTTGTCATATTTTTACTTACACAAAGACTCTGGAGAAACATTCTCTTTCATTAAAATTACCTTAGATTTCTCCAGTATTTTTTGTACTGTTCTTCAAATTCCTGGTTATCCCAGGCTCTTCCTAAATTGTAGACACAGAGATAGAAAGGAAGAAGGGAATAACTATTTTAATATATAAAAATTAGTAATTCAAGTTAGAATCATCTTGTAATGTAATCAGTCTTGTAATAGCTTCTATTTAATGAAATTTTTACAATAAGCAAGAAATGTTTTGATTGTGTAAATAAGCAGATGATGTCATCCTTACCTATAGCAGCCATATTCATAAATGTTTCCTCCATGACATCTCTGTAGAGCTTTTTTTGCAATGGATTCAGCAAAGTCCACTCCTCCTTGGTGAAGTTCACAGCCACATCTTCAAAGGTCAGTACCTCCTAAGTAATTTATATGTATTTTATAAAATATATATCTATGTATTTCTCTATTCCCATTCCACTTTTAAAACTTACTTCACCTCCTAGTTCATAAAGCTTGGTTTTCATTTTATTTTTCTTTTCTCACATTTTTCTTTGCCTTCTTTCCTTTCCCAACTCCCCTCATTATTTTCCTTTCCTTTCAGATAGGTATTGTCTCACAGATAGTAATAATAAAAAAAGAACTATCAAGGGCATTCATTAGATTAATAGTCTTCACCTAAAATAAGTGTTTACCAAACTAAGGAATTATAGACATTTTACACCTAGGCATGTAGATTTTCCATACAAGATAATACATTACCTAGTAAAATACAAGCATACAAATTAGTTAACTTACATCATGAGTACTGTCTTAATTAATTTGCTTTCATTGCTGGTACAAAATACCTGATGCCCAAAATTATGAAAGGAAAGGTTTATTTAGCTCACAGGCTGTGGCGGTTTCAGTCCATAATCAGCTGGCTCTGGCAGAACAGCTGCAATCTGTAGGCCCAGCTTTCCTGGCACCATTTAAGAACTTTGGCAGGCTCTGGGCTGTCTGTGGGACTCTGCTAAGCTCTAGCTTGCATTAGCCCCCAGTGTGAAGACATGGAGCTTCTTCTGGTTCCAGTCCAAAATTTTAAGAACTTAGGAAGACTCTGAGTGGCCTATGGGATGCAGCGGGACTGTGATCTGTGGGCCCAGTATGAGCATGCTTTCCTCAAGACATTTAAGAACTTTGGCAAATTCTGGGTGGCCTGTGGACCTCTGTTTGGATGATTACTGGGAGCTTCCAAAATGCCAAAATACAGTAGCAAATGGCAATCTCAATCTTCTAGCCCACCCAGAACAAATCCAGGAGACAAAGACATAAAAGAACTTGGAAATCACACTCCTGAAATCTCTGAAATGATAGCAACTGAAGTAAAGAAACAAGTCCATCAGGCTACAGAAGAAATAACAAAAATAATCTCTCAGGTCCAAAAAGAAATGACAATTATGAAAGAATTGCTCAGCATAGCTAAAGACATAGATTTAAAAAAAAAAAGAAGAGAATAGAAAAATAATGGAAATTCTGAATGAACAATACAAGAAAGAATTAGAATGAATGGAACAGATTCAAAGACATCCAGGAAATTAAAGATTCCATTGAAAGCTGGCAAAACACCCCACAGGAACAAAATTGAAGACAGACTTTCAGACCTCAAAGACAATGGTGCAACTAATGAATGGGAAAGGAAGAGCTCTTAAAAATAACATGGAATGTTATGCCTAAGATGTTTGATATTCAGACAGATAGTGAGGTTAAGCTTAACAGCCTAGGTTGCATGGCAGTAACAATAAGCTTCTCTTCTGGAGGGTTAACAACCTAAGTTTGCAGACCAAAATTAGAGAAAAAGGAGGGCCACAAGGAAAGCCAACAT